TTTTGAGACAGGGTCTCACTATGTAGTTGAAACTGACCTGGAACTCGCTATGTAGCCCAGGCTGGTCTCGAACTCACAGAGATCCTCCTGCCTCAAGTCTCCCAAGTGCTGAGATTACAGGTGTAAGACACCAAGCCCAGCTGCATCAGGGTTTCTTGAAAGTCCAGACCCTCCCTCATCTTGCCCCAGAATGTCACCAGGGCTTTCCTGGGCCTGTGTTTCTCACCCATACCCATGCACTTGGGTGCATGTTCACACACACATACAGGGATACATGCTGCCCAGTGGGCCACTTGCTAGCCACGCCTGAGTCTTCCCTGCCAAGGTTCCATCCCACCTGTCCTAAGCTCCTGCACGATCCCTAGCACAGTTTAGACTTCAGCTGCCACTCCCTTCAAGGGCAGGTTCAGGGCCACCCAGGGGACTGGACAGTTGCAGAATGCGCCTGGGCGGCCCAGCAGTGATTCAGACAGCCCCTCCCCAAGCTTGGCTGCTGTGTCTACAGGCTCGCCGTGCCCTTACCAGGGCCTGGGGTCTGAGGGTCGATATAGTACCTGGGTCCCCCTAGATGGCAGAAAATGCAGGTCCCAGAGGAAAGTGCCTTTTCCAGATGGGCACAGAGGAGCAGAGTGACCCAAGTGTTTGTCCAGCACTTGGTGTGTGCCAGGGCTCCCACACAGATCCCTCAGTAGAGCTCCTGGCCCTGGGCCCACCCTTCTGCCCATGTGGCGGCAATGGCTCCTTGCCTGGTCCAGGGGTGTGATGTTTTTGGGGTGGACCAGCCTTGGAGATGGCCAGGCTACCCTGAGGGTCTGGGATAGGGCATATTTGGCCTGCCTCTCAGGTGTTCCCCATTCTACCTAGCCTGATGCAGAAAGGGACCTGTTGTTGGTGCTGGAGGTCAGGTGCTTTGGTCCAGGGAGTGGGAGGACGGTAGGAGAGACGGGTGGGCTAGCTCTGCCCTGCAGCTCTAGGCCTGAAGAACAAACCTTGGAGTCCTGGCCTGTGCTTGGTAGAGGCGGCAGAGAGAGCCCCAGCATGTGGAGGTGGGTTTGGGAGTGTGTAGCTGCCATGCTGGGTGCCCCCTCCTCCCTCCCGTAACTCTGAACCCCAGCACATAGCCACGGAGCGTTCACTGTGGCAGAGGTCCTGCCTCTCCAGGGACACAGCCTGTCATGGAAGCTGCTGCCCAAGACCCCCTGAGCCAGCAAGATCCAGGAACATCATGCATCTAAGAGACCTGGGGGGGATGCTCAGACTAGGGAGCATATGACCAGGTGTAGGGCCTGAGCTGGGAGGGAAAGGCCAGGCAATTCCAGGGTCCCTGACAGGATTGAGGGTAGGGAGCCCCAAATATGAGAAGGTCCGAGAGCCCCAGAGAGCATCCTGAGCTCAGCACTAAAGGTAGTAGAGAGCTGGGAGTATTGAGATTATGCACACAGCTGACTCTGACAAGTGCAGAGGTCCCCACTGGGACCTTCCTCTGCACCTGAGAGCTTGACTCAAGACAGGTTTCTTCCTTGGCATCAGGGGTCTTCCCTGGATAGTTGTACATAGGTGTCTCCTCTGCCAACCCTGACCCCCAGCCTGCTGCCACTTATTTTAAATCTAGTGTAGGGAAAACTCATGGTCACCTGAGGTCGTCTTATAGGCAGTTAAATTAGCTAGAAATTAATATAGTCAGACAGGTTCTGGCTCTCAAAGAAATCAGCACAAAAAATAAAGACAGGAAGCTGGGTAGGGCAATGCATGCCTGTGATCAGCACTTGGGAGGCTGAGGCAGGAGGATTGCTGCAAGTTTGAGGCCAGCCTAGACTACATAGCAAGACCCCATTGTCATTGTCAGGGTTTGCAAGGGAATAATTTAATACAGGACACATAATTTATAGGATTATTTTATAATATTCTCCCAAAAAGTCAAGTGCAGAGGAGTGCAAAGATTTGCCCATGCTCTAGAGACCCAAAAAATCCAGCTGAGGGTCTGGATTCTCTGGCAGTGTCCCACAGGAGTCCAGCTGAAGGCTTAGTGCCCAAGTCAGTGCTCTCCATGAATCCAGCCAGAGGCCCAGAGCCCATGGCAATGTCTCATGCAAGTCTGTATCAAGGATTTGCACTGGAAAGGCCCAAAGGCCAGTGGTGGAATCCAGAAAGTCTGTGCCACCAGGCTGAGGGATCTGCACTGGTGCCAGGAAGTGATGCTTAAGGCAAAGACCAGAGCTCCCCTGCAGAGAACAGAAGCCATTTCCAGTGACAGCAAGGACCAGAGCTCCTCCAATGATAACAGCTGAGTTTCTGTCAGGAAAACAGCCACAATAAGCTTCTTCATGAAAATCAACTGCATACAGTCTTCTCCTTTTATGCAACAAAATATTTTTTTGGAGACAGGGTCTCACTATGTAGTCGAGGCTGACCTCGAACTCACTATGTAGCCCAGGCTGGTCTCGAACTCACAGCAATCCTCCTGCCTCAGCCTCCCGAGTGCTGGGATCACAGGTGTGTGCCACCACGCCTGGCTTGCGCAACAATTTTTAGGTGGGTCTTCCAATTCCAGAACCACCCTGACTGAGTTGTAGTGAGCTTCCAAATTGACCTTTAGTTAATCCACCACACCCATTAAAAAAACAATCAGCCAAATAAAATAAAGACATCAGAATTGTGGTTAGAAGCACATCTGAAGAAGGCCAGGCCTCAAGAAAAAGATGCAATGGCCAGGCCTGCACACCTGCTTGAGGGATAAACAATAACACGAAATTGTTCCTGGTCCAGGAAGTCCAGCTAGGCGTCAGCTGCCCATGTGGGTGACCAGAGCATCCAGATCCATCTCTCCCCCAAAATGCCCTTGTTCTTTCCATGAACCCTTACTGTATGACTCATTTCCCTATTGGATCAGTATTAGCTGAGCAGCTATGCTTGTAACCCTCTAGGTCAATTATAGTTTGACCCATGTTGTATCCATGGTACGAGTTTGCTGTATAAATGACTCCTTACAGCCTCAGGGGCCATCCACTCAGGATACCTGGGGTAAAACTCCTAACTCCCTTTGTTCTTCTTCTTATTTTTTTTCATTTATAAGCAAAAATGTTTATTTTGGCTCAGGTTTGCACATCCCAGCCCAGGATGGAGTGGCCCACTGCTTTGGGCTCCTGACGAGACAGCACATTATGGTGGCAGCATGATGTGGGGTCTGTATCTGCCCCTGGGGCTGGATTCTGGCCTGCCTCCCCAGGGTGGGCACAAGCAGGGACCCCTGTGAGATGGTGCCAGTGTTCTGGTCCCCAGCCAGGGCTCCTGCTTCCAGGCCTGAGGGCCCAGGGCCCGGGCCGCACATGGAGTTGGATGGGTGTCTTATTTTGCAAGGCTACATTATGTTCTTTGGAAGTTGAGATCTGCAAAAGAGTAGGAAAAAGTGGGCTGAGGGGGCTGTCATCTGACTGGTCCAGTAGATTTCTAAAGCTGAAATAAGTAATTTAACTCAACCCTTTTTTAGCAGGTTTGCTGATTCCCACTGTGGAAAACAATTTTCAGGACATGTCGGTAAGAGGCAGAAGGCTTTATTAGAGATTTAAAACACACTTAGGAGTGAAATGAGGGCCCTCAGAGAAATGAGGTGCATTATTTCCTGGAATGGGGACATTACGCTTCTTAAAGGGGTAGAAACCCTAGGAAAGGGTGGCTCACTCCACAGAAGGGTACTAGTTCATTGTACTGTACTGGTATGGGCTTTGTGTATTCTGTGATTAAAACATTCTTTGGACTCTCTCCACTTGCTCCTTTATCTTAGAATCATATTCCTGATCATTACTTTCTCAGTTAAACCAATTTATGGACTTTTAGAATTCCTGAGGAATTTTGGGTGTGACAGGTCTGGTAGGGAAGGAGACTAAATTTAACCAAGGGAATGCTTACATGGATAGCCTTGGGTAGTCCTGCAAGTTGGAGTTTTCTTAAAAATACAAGTTTGCCAAAAAAAAAAGTTTGCAGGAGCTGGCAAGTTCAAGGCTGGACTACGTAGTGAGGCCTGTAAGACTTGAATAAGCTAAAGTGACTCCATGTTAATAGGCCAGAGCCTGTGCCTCTTCATATGCTAATTGCTAATTTGGCTAACAGCCCACCCAGGGGCAAATGGTATGACAAAAGGTGACCGTAGAACATTTCCTGCATAAGAAAAGCAATGTGTTTGCAGCCTTGTTCTGTGAATTCCTTGACTTTTTGATTAAAAAACCTTATAAAAAGCACCTCAGCACCTGAGCAGTTGCTTCTCTGAGCTACCTGGCTCCGGGAGTGCCGTCTGGCCAAACTAATAAAGGTCTCTTTACCATCTAGCCTGATATGTTCCTTCCTGGGTTTCTCGGTTCTCCGTCGCGCTCCCGGAGCCTCGCTGGGTTTTAGGGCCCAGCATCGCGGAGGCCTTTTTGGCTGTTCACGCTCCGTAGAGTGGAAGTGAGACTTTGTCTTACAAGGCCGTCTCCGAAAAAAAAAAAAAGTACAAGTTTTAGTTAATGATCTAGTCTCTTATTTCTTCTTTCCTAGCAACTGGGGACCTCCGTGCACGCCCCAGCAGGGGTCCCCACGGGTAGCACCAGCGCTCCCCGGGTCCAGAGCCTGGGTCGGAGGCCCGGGGCACATTTCCAATCGTCCAATCAATCCCAGGACGTCTCCAGTCCCTCTTGGGGTGCAGCACCGAGGGCCCCGGAAGGCTGCGCTCCGGACCGCTCCGCAGCTGCCCCAGACACCGGGGGGCGC